AGCAATAAATTCCAGACCACGCTCCTGTCCTGACAATAGATTGACTCAACCTCTACACACTAACGATCTGGCAGAAGGAAAGGCGGGCCCATTTCCCAGGCATAAGAACTATTTACTGCAGTCTCAGCTGTCCTACAGAGGATATCCTGCTTTCAGAAAAGCTTTTGAGGCATAAAAAGAAGGAAGGAAGAACAACACTCCATTGAGACAGGACATTTTTAAGACCAAATTCTTTGGAACTACCAGACGTGGAATTGAAAATAACTGTTTTTTATGTTAAGATCTCTAGGAGAAAAGGCAGGCAACTTGTATGGTCAGGTAGTATATTTCAGTAGATAGAGACAGTGAGAAAATAAAATAAATCCTGAAAATGAAAATGACAGTGACATAGATGAAAAATGTCTTCAACAAGCTCATTATTAAACTTGGCGTAGGGATCAGTGATTTCTGAGAGTATACTGTTCTAATGTCTTTACACCACATATGAAATGCTATGAAGTCTGTGAACTTGAATACAGCTGAAGTGTGGAAAAAAATAGTGCAGAGCACCCATGAGCTGTGAGACAATATCAAGTGGTCTGAATGTGTAATTAAAGTCTGAGAGGGAAAAGAGAAAGAAAATGGGGCAGAAGAAATACTTGAAGATATAATGACCAAAAATTTTTTAAAAGTAATGATGGACACCAAAGAGCTGAGAAGCTCAGAACACAAATGGCTCATACCCCAAACCAAGCATATGATAGAAAAACACCGAGGCCTGTCATAGTCAAACTGCAGAATATGAAAGAAAATATTGAAGGCAGTCAGAGGAAAGAGACTAATTCCAGAGGAAAAAAATAATTAAATCAGGGTTCTTAATAGAAACTGTGCAGACTCAAAGATAAATGCAGTACATCTTTTTTTTTTTTTTTGGAGACAGAGTCTCCTTCTGTTGCCCAGGCTGGAGTGCAGTGGCGTGATCTTGGCTCACTGCAACCTCGCCTCCCGGGTTCAAATGATTCTCCTGCCCCAACCTCCCGAGTAGCTGGGACTGTAGGCATGTACCACTATGCCCAGCTAATGTTTATGGAGCACATCTTTAAAGGGCCAAAAGGGAGAAAATCCTTTCAACCCAGAATTCCATACACAGCAAAAATAATCTTTTCCTTTTCTTTTCTTTTTTTCTTTATATATGGTCTCACACTGTGGCCCACGCTGGAGTACTGTGATGCAGTCTTCGCTGACTGCAACCTTTGCTTCCAGGGCTCAATTGATCCTCCTATCTCAGCCTCCTGAGTAGCTGGGACTACAGGTACATGCCCCTACGCTCAGCTAATTTTTTGTATTTTTAGTAGGGATGTGTTTTCACCATGTTGCCCAGGCTTGTTTTGAACTCTTGGGCTCAAGTGATCTGCCCTCCTCAGCCTCCCAAAATGTTAGGATTACATATGTCAGCCACTGCACCAGGCAAAAATAATCTTCAAAAATGAAGGAGAAATACTCTCTCAGAGAAACAGAAATAGAGAGAATTCATTGCCATCAGACCTGCACTGCTGGAAATATTAAAGGAAGCTGTTCAGGAAGAAGGGGTATGACATTAGACATTTGGATCTGTACAAATAAGTGTCTTGGAGCTAGAGTTTTTATTTAAAAATATTTTTTGTTTTCTGATTTCTCTGAAAGATTAACATAAATCAAAAATATTAGCAATATATTTTGTGTTTTGGGCATAGTATGTGAAATAAAATGTATGACAAATTAGCTCAAAGGTCAGAAAGGATCAGTAATTGGGAGTATACTGTTCTGATGTCTTTACACTACATATGAAATGCTATGACTTACTCTAAGCTAGGCTTTGATTATTTATGTATGTTGTAAACCTGGGTCAACCACTAAAAACATTTTTTAAGGTATAAATAATAAGCCAATAGTGGAGATAAAATGGAATTATACAAATATATTCAGCTGATCTAAGTGAACACAGAGACAGAAGGAAAAAACAGGGAGTAGATAGAACAAATAGAAACAGCGATCAAGATGATAGACTTCATTCCTAAATGTGTTAAATGAAAATGGCCTGAACACACTGATTAAGACAGATTTTCCAGTTGGTTGCAAAAGCAAGACTCTAGTATATACTTTTTTTTTCTTTAAAGATAAATTCCTGCAGCCATCTATTATATACTCTCTATAAGAAACTCACTTTAAATGTAGACAGATTAGGCTGGGTGTGGTGGCTCACCCCTGCAATCCCAGCACTTTGGGATGCTGAGGTGGACGGATCACCTGAGGTCAGGAATTCGAGACCAGCTTGGCCAACATGGTGAAACCCCCGTCTCTATGAAAAATACAAAAATTAGCTGAGTGCGGTGAATGCACCTATAATCACAAAAATTAGCTGAGTGCGGTGAATGCACCTATAATCCTAGCTACTTGGGAGGCTGAGGCAAAAGAATCTCTTGAACCCAGGAGGCAGAGGTTGCAGTGAGCCAAGATTGTACCACTGTACCCCAGCCTGGGTGACAGAGCAAGACTCCATCTTAAAAAAATAAAAATTAAAAATAAATGTAGACAGGTTAAAAGTGAAAGCATGTAAAATGATATACTGTCATGGCCGGGCGCGGTGGCTCAAGCCTGTAATCCCAGCACTTTGGGAGGCTGAGGCGGGTGGATCACGAGGTCAAGAGATCGAGACCATCCTGGTCAACATGGTGAAACCCCGTCTCTACTAAAAATACAAAAAATTAGCTGGGCATGGTGGCACGTGCCTGTAATCCCAGCTACTCAGGAGGCTGAGGCAGGAGAATTGCCTGAACCCAGGAGGCGGAGGTTGCGGTGAGCCGAGATCGCGCCATTGCACTCCAGCCTGGGTAACAAGAGCGAAACTCCATCTCAAGAAAAAAAAAAAAAAAAAAAAAAAAATGATATACTGTCCAAACACTATCAGGTGAAAGCTAGGGTGGCTATATTAATATCAGACTGAGTAGAATTCAGAGCCAGGAAAATTATCAAGGATAAAGAAGGTTGTGGGCTCAGCATGGTGGCTCATGCCTGTAATCCCAGCACTTTGGGAAGCTGAGGCAGGAGGATTGCTGAGGCCATCCTGGGGAACATGATTCAATCTCATCTCAACAAAAAATAGAAAACTCAGCTTTGTCTGGTGGTATGCACACCTGTACTCTTTGCTACTCAGGAGGCTGAGGTGGGAAGATCACCTGAGCCCAGGAGTTGGAGGTTGCAGTGGACCGAGCACGGGCCACTGTTGGGGGGTCTGAGTAATGCCCTGACAAAAAAAAAAAAAAAAAAAAAAAAAAAAAAGACATAATGATTAAGGTATCAATTCTCCACGAGTACTTAATAGTCCTAAATACCTAACTAACAACAGGCCTCCAAAACGTGTTAATTAAAAATGAATAAAACTAAAAGGAGAAATAGATACATCCACAGCTAGAGTCTACAACATTCTCTTAGTAGTTGATTGAACAAATAGATGGAAAATTAAGATATAGAAGCCCTAAAGAGCACAATCAACTAGTTTGACCTAATTGCCATTTATAGAAGAGACTGCCCAACAGCAGCAGAATCCTGTGCATATATTTCCTTTTTTTTTTTTTTTTTTTCCTTTGAGATGGCATTTTATTCTTTTTGTTGAGGCTGGAGGGCAATGGTGCGATCTCGGCTCACTGCAGCCTCTGCCTCCTGGGTTCAAGTGATTCTCCTGCCTCAGCTTCCTGAGTAGCTGGAATTACAGGCATACACCACAACATCCGGCTAATTTTTGTGTTTTTAGTAGAGACGAGTTTCACCATGTTGGTCAGGCTGGTCTTGAACTCTTGGCCTCAAGTGATCCGCCTGTCTCAACCTTCCAAAGTGCTGGGATTACAGGCGAGAGCCACTGTGCCTAGCCCTATGCATATATTTTCAACTGCATGTGGAATATTCACGAAGATAGATGGTATTCTAGCCCACAAAGCAAGCTTTAATTGCATTTGAAAGACGTGAAAGTACCGTTTGCCTTCCATGTCTTTTGATCCTGCATCTATGGATTCAACCAACTATAGGCTGAAAATATTTGGAAAAAAATTGTGTCTGTACTAAACACATGCAGACATTTTTCTTGTAATTGTTCCGTAAACAATACAGTATCACTATTTACATGGTGTTTAAATTGTATTAGGCATTATAAGTAATCTAGAGATGATTTAAAGTACATGGGAGAATATGCTATCAGAGACTTGAGCATCCGTAGATTTTGGTATCTGTAAGAGTCCTGGAACCAATCCCCCATGGATGCCAAAGGATGACTATATATGAACGATGTGTGTGGGCCATAATGGAGTTAGGCTAGAAATTAGTAACAGACCTAGCTATATTTGGAAACTGTCCATTTGGAAATCAAATAATTTTATTTATATTTTGAGACAGAGTCACACTGTGTAGGCTGGAGTGCAATGACATGATCATGGCTCAATGCTTGACTTCCCTGGGCTTGGGCGATCCTCCTACCTTAGCCTCCCAAGTAGCTGGGAGTACAGGTGTGTGTTGGCACACCTGGCTAATGTTTGTATTTTTCTGTAGAGATGGAGTTTTGCAATGTTGCCCAGTCTGGTCTTGAACTCCTAGGCTCAAGAGATCTGCCCACCTCGGCCTCCCAGAGTGCGAGGAGTACAGATGTGAGCCACCACACCCAACCTGAAATTAAATACCTTTAAGTAACCTGTGGTTCAAGGAGGAAATCACAGGGAAGTAAAAACATTGTTGAATTAAATGAAAGTGAAAGTGAAAGTACAGCGTGTCAGAATTCATGGGATGCAGCTATGGCAGTGCTTATAGGGAAATAAAGAGCATTAAGTGCTTATAGTAAGAAAAATTCAATTGTATAGCCATGCACATTTCATTTATCAGTTGATGAATATTTGGGTTTTTCCACTTATTGGCTACTATGAATAATACTGCTATGAACATACCTATACCAGTTTTCATGTGGACATGTGTTTTCATTTCTCTTAGGTATACCTAGGAGTGGAATTGCTACATCATATGGTAATTCCGTGGTTAACTTTTTGAGGAATTGTACTGTTTTGCAAAACAGCTACCTTAATTTACATTCTCACCAGCAACTTAGGAAGGTTCTGATTTCTCCCACACCCTTGCCAACACTGATTTTAGCCATCCTAGTGGATGTGAAATGTTACTGTGATTTTGATTTGCATTTCCCCAATGACTAATGATGTTGAACATCTTTTTGTGTGCTGATTGACCATTTATATATTTTATTTTTTTACTTTAGAAACAGGGTCTCACTCTGTTTCCTGGGCTTGAGTGCAGTGATATGTTCATAACTCATTGCAGCCTCAAACTCTTAGGCTCATGTAGTCCTCCCTTCTCAGCCTCCTGAGTAGCCAGGGCAACAGGTGTGTGCCATGGCCTCCCAAAGTGCTGGAATTATAGGTGTGAATCACCACACCTGGTTGATCTGCGTATTTTCTTTGGCGAAATGTTTATTGAAATCCTTTGTCCATTTTAAAAATAGTTTTATGCTTTTATTAGAGCTTTAAAAATTCTTTATTCTGCATACGTGTTCGTTGTAAGATACATGCTTTACAGATATTTTCTTCCATTCTGTGTGTTGTCTTTTCACTTCCTTAATGGCGTCTTATGAGGTATAAAAGTTTTTAATTTGGGGCTGTGAGCAGTGGCTCACGCCTGTAATCCTGGCACGTTGGGAGGCTGAGGCAGGTGGATCCTCTGAGGTCAGGAGTTTGAGACCAGCCTGGCCAACATGGCGAACTTCTGTCTCTACTAAAAATACAAAAATTAGCTGGGCATGGTAGTGCCCACCTATAATCCCAGCTACTCGGGAGGCTGAGGCAGGAGAATCACTTGAACCTGGGAGGCTGAGGGTGTAGTGAACTGCGATTGCACCACTGTACTACAGCCTGGGTGATAGGGTGAGACTCTATCTCAAAAAAAAAAAAAAAAAGTTTTAAATTTTGATCAAATTCTTTCTTATTTTGTTTTGCTGCTTGTACTTTTAGTGTCATGTCTAAACCATTGCCTTTTCCAAGGTCATGAAGATGGACTTCTGTTTTTACCTCTAGAGGTTATAGTTTTAACCCTTGCATTTACATCTTTGATCATTTTGAGTTAATTTTTGTGTATGGTGTGAGACATGGGTCCACTGTCCTTTAGTAGAAAGTTAAATAAATAGGAATAGATCTCTACATTGTAATATATACTACTATATGACCCAGCCATTCCACTCTTAGGTGTTAACCCAAATTCGTGTAAAATTCATGGGTATTTCTGCTGGCTTTCTTCGTAACCACCAACAACTGGAAACAACTCACATCCTTTAACTGTCCCTTAACTTCCCCTTAACTGTGGCACATACTTACAATGGAATACAACTTAGCAATGAAAAGGAACAAAGGACTGACATTCCACCAACACAGATAAATCTCAGAGGCATTATGCTACATGAGGGAAGTCAGTTTCCAAAGGGACATGCTGTGTGATTTTATTTGTACGTTTATTATATTCTTGGGAAACAGAACCATAGAAACAGATCAGTGGTTGCCAGGGGCTGGCCGAGGAGAGAGACATTGACTGCAGAGGAGCATAGGGTGGTTTGTGGTTGTATCATTATCGTGGTGGTGGTTGCATGAGCATGTGCTTGTTAGAACATCAGGGACTGTACACTAAAATGTGCAGGATTTTAATTTGTGTGAATTATACATTAGTACAATAAAAGGAAAATTTTAAATTGTTCGAAAGAATATGATGTTTCTCCCATTGTAAAGCAGTTTTCAAGGTGAAAAGTTACCCCACGGCTTCTTCCCTTTTTGTTTTGGTGTCTGGTGTTTATCCCGAGTAAGAAGTGCCATTGCTTAGTGGAGATTTCTGCAGGATCACCAAGAACAGCAAGTGCTGCCAAGCTCTTCTGATCCTGCCCAGCCACGGTCAGCTCTAGGCATGTTCCCAGCCCCTGCTGCACAGATTGGGGCAGACGGTGCCTGTTCTTTATAGATGTCCAGATAGCAGGTCATACCGTTGTAGTGACAGAATTCTCAAGAAATACTTGTTGAAATGTTGAGGATGAAGTGTCATTTGTCTTTATAATCCTGCCTACGTAAGCTATACTTAAATTTTTTTTTTTTTAAGGCAGGGTCTTGCTCTGTTGATTAGTCTGGAGTGGCGCAGTCGTAGTTCACTGCAGCAGCCTTGAACTCCCCTGGGCTCAAGCCATCCTCCCACCTCAGCCTCTTGATTAGCTGAGACTACAGGGATGTGCCTTCATGTCTGGCCAATTTATTTAAAAAAATTTTTTGTAGAGATGGAGGTCTTGCTGTTGCCCAGACTGGTCTGGAAATCCTGGCCTCTAACGATCCTCACACCTTGGTCTCCCAAAGTGCTGGTATTACAGGTGTGAGTCATTGCACTGGGCCAGTACTTTTTTAAAAAGAAAAATCTCAGGCATTGTGTATTCGTTTCCTATTGCTGCTGTAACATGTAATCACAAACTTTGTTGCTTAAAACAACACAGATTTATTATCTTACTGTTCCGGAGGTCGGAAGTGTCAAATGAGTCAGGATGGCTGCACCGTTGCTGGATACTCACAGGGAGATTTCATTTCCTTACCTTTTCAGCTTCCAGAGACTGCCTGAATTTCTTGGCTCATGTCCCAGCATCACTCTGACCTCTGCTTCTGCCTTGACTCAGGCTCTCCTGCCTGCCACTTTCTTTCATAAGGACCCTTGTGATTCCATTGGGTCTACTCAAATACTCCAGGATAACCTGCTTCTCAAGGTTCTTTTTTCTATGGACCAGCATCTCCTCATTGCCCCTCTCCTAACCTCTAGTACTCTACTCACTGCTTCTGTTGAGTTCCGATTGTTGTAGATTCCACGTAGAGGTGAAAACATGCCATTTTTGTCATTTGATGCCTGGTTTCTTTCACTTAACAATGTCCTCGAAGTTTACTGTGTTGTTGCAAATGACAGAATTTCTTTCTGTTTTAAGGCTAATAGTATTCCATTGTGTATATATATTATATATTATATTTTCATTATCCATTCATCCGTTGATGGACACTGAGATTGAATCTTTGGCTATTGTAAATAATGCTGCAATGAACATGGGAGTGCAAGTATCTCCTCAACATACTGAGTTCAGATTCTTAGAATAAATACCCAGAAGCAGGATGCTGGATCAAATGATACTCCAGTTTTTAGTTTTTTGGGGGACCTCCATACAGTTTTCTATAATGGCTACACTAATTTACATTTCCACCAACAGCATACAGGTGTTCCCTTTCCCACCTCCTCATCTGTACATGTTATCAACAGTGTCCAGGTGTCCCACATCCTCATCTGTACATGTTATCAACAGTGTCCAGGTGTCCCACATCCTCATCAGTGCATGTTATCAACAGTGTCCAGGTGTCCCACATCCTCATCAGTGCATGTTATCAACAGTGTACAGGTGTCCCACATCCTCATCAGTGCATGTTATCAACAGTGTACAGGTGTCCCACATCCTCATCAGTGCATGTTTTGTCTTTTTGAGGATAACCATTCTCATAGGTGTGAAGGAATATCTCATTGTACTTCTCTTTCTCCTTTTTTTTTTTTTTTGTTAGACGGAGTCTTGCTCTGTCACACAGGTTGGAGTGCAGTGGCACGATCTCGACTCACTACAACCTCTGCCTCCAGGGTTTAAGTAATTCTCCTGCCTCAGCTTCCTGAGGAGCTGGAATTACTGGAACCCACCACCTCTCTTGGCTATTTGTCTTTTTAGTGGAGATGAGATTTTGCCATGTTGGCTAGGCTGATCTTGAACTCCTGACCTCAGATGATCTGTATGCCTTGGCCTCCCAAAGTGCTGGGATTATAGGTGTGAGCCACTGTGCCCAGCCTCATTTGTATATCTTCTTTTGAGAAATGTCTAGTCAATATTCAGGTCTTTTGCCAATTTTTAAATCAGGTTATTTGTTGTTGTTGTTTTTGCTATTTTTTTTGAGTTCCGTGTGTGTGTGTGTGTGTGTGTGTGTGTGTGTGTGTTTTGGAGGCAGCGTCTCATTTTGTCGCCCAGATTATAATGCAGTGGCACAATCTCAGCTAACTGTAGCCTCCGTCTCCCGGGCTCAAGTGATCCTCTCACTTTAGCCTCCTGAGTAGCTAGGACTACAAATGCACACCACCAAGCTTGGCTAATCTGATAACATTTTTTATTTCTTTTTGTGTGATAACATTTTTTTTGTAGAGTTGAGGTCTCACTATATTGCCCAGGCTGGTCTTGAACTCCTAGACTGAAGCAGTCTTCCTGCCTTGGCCTCCCAAAGTGCTGGGATTATAGGCATGAGTCATGGCGCCTGCCTTATATTTTGTATATTAACCCCATTTTAGATGTTTTGCTTGCAAATATATTCTCCCAGTCTATAGATTGTCTCTTCACTCTGTTTAGTTTGCCATGCTGAAGCATTTTGGTTATAATCTCATTTGTCTTTGTTTGCTTTTGTGGCCTGAACTTTTGGGGTCAAATACAAAAAATGATTGCCCTGGCCAATATTGTGTTGTTTTCTCTGTGTTTTCTTACAGTATTTTCATAGTTTGAGGTCTTACGTTGAAGTCTTTAATCTATTTTGAGTTGATTTTTCTGTATGGTGTGAGACACTGGTCTCATTTCATTCTCCTGCATGTGGATATTCAGTTTTCTCGACATCCTTTATTGAAGAGACTGTCCTTCTCTCATTGTGTGTTCTTGGTATCTTTGTCAAAGATCAGCTGGTTGTAAATGCATGAGTTCATTTTTGGGCTTTTGTTGATGCCACTACCATGCTGTTTTGATTACTGTAGCTTTGTAATATAGTTTGAAGTAGTGTTGTGCCTCCAGTTTTATTCTTTTTGTTCAAGATTGCCTTGACTATTCAATTCTGTGTGTGTTTCCCTAAGAATTTTAGAATTTTGTTTTTTATTTCTGTGAAAAATGGCATTGGAATTTTTATAGGGATTGCATTTAATCTGTGGATCACTTTGGGTAGTATGGACATTTTAACAGTATTAATTCTTCCAATCCAGAATCCAAATCTTGAGATCATCTCCTCATCTCAAGATTCTTAGTCACCAAAGACCCTTTTACCAAATATGGTTATGTATTCACAAGTTCTGGGGATTAAGATGTGGACATCTTGGGTGGGGGTGCATTTTTCTGTGTAGCACAGAAGAGAAATTATTTTAATAGTGTCTAAAATGTAAGATCACTAGGGGGTGTAAGGTAAATTAAGAAATGTCCTATTTTCTGAAACTGAAAAGTGGGTATAGTGAGACTTTTGAGGATAAAATAAGTCATGTTGATAACATGTGTATTTAAAGGAAAAGGGAGAAAGGCATGGCGTGTTGCTGGTTGAGATTCTGCATTTGGTTTTGTTGTTGTTGTTGTTGTTGTTGTTTTAGAGACAGGGTTTCACTTTGTCTCCCAGGCTGGAGCACAAACTCCTGGGTTCAAGGTCTCCTCCCCTCAGTCTCCCGAGTAGCTAGGATTACAGGCTAGCACCACCATGCCTGCCTCATTTTTTTAAATTTTTGAGATGGAATCTCGATATATTGCCCAGGCTGGTCTTGAGCTCCTGGGCTCAAGCAGTTCTCCCACCTCCATCTCCCTAAGCTCTGAGATTACAAGCATGAACCACTGGGCCTGGCCTACCCTTTTTTTTTTTTTTTTTTTTTTTTTTTTAAAATGGCAAAGAAGTACCTTAACATTAACACTGGAATACCATAGCCTAACGTGGGGCTAAGAAAAAGTGGCCATGAATTACTAGTATGATCCTCCTTATATTTAGGTTATTTATTTATTTAAAATATTATAGTAACAATACACAAATATTTCTGCATATTACTAAGAAAACCTTTGTCAAGGAGTCCATAGAGCAAAAAATGAAAATTCTCCACGCAAACCGTATTCTTTTCTCTGAGGATACCTATTGGTGTGTATTTTCCACATTTTTATGATGTGTTTAATATGTATGTGTTTTTGCTTTTCAAGAAATTTTTAGAATTTTTGTTTCTTCTACTTTACATAAATGAGATCACTTTGTATCTAGTAGCTAGTGATTTTCTTAAATGTTTTATATTTATAAGACACCAGCACCCAGAAAATGACAATGGGCGTTAGATGGTGATGATGATAATGGTAATAGGTGTAGATCGTGCTCTTTCATTTGCAGGCGTTATTCTCAGTGCTGTATTCACTCCTTTTATGAGGCAGGTATTATTTTCATCCTCACTTTGTAGATGAAGAAATGGAGGCAGAAAAATTAAGGTGCTTGTGCCACTTTGTGCAGGAAATGGGGTAACTGAGCTCACAGCCAGGCCATCTGGCTCCAAGGCCTGGACCACACTGTTGTGCTACTTTTGCATTTACAGGAAAGGGCTAAACACTGACAAAATGTGAGTGCACTATTTGGGAATTTAAGCAAAGCCTCATTGGTAAGTTGGCTCATTTTATTCCCTTCTATGGCAGTTACACAGTTTTTATTCTTAACTCATGTGGGTCAAGAAAGGGTCTTTTGAAATGAAAGGATCAAATCTGAGCTTTCAAATTCTAGTCTGTTTTCTGCTCTTTTCTGCTAAGTGAGTAGATTTCTGAATCAGTTCTGATTTTATTTACCTTCACAGTTCAGAGTGTGCTTGACTTTCATGAGACTTTCCTGTCTTCTGCCAAAATTTGTCTTCCTTCAAATTTGATGTCCCTTGATCATTTTGTTTTCAAAAAAGAGATTGCTATTTTTAGAAACCCAAAATACATAGATCTTGGTTTTTAAATACCATTCTATAATAAAACAAGTCAGGAATCCTTGAAGAAATGATTCCAAATTAGGGGAAATACAAGATGAACCTGGAACATCTTTTAGTACCAGAAAGTGAGTAAAAGAAGAAAAACAGAAAAAAAAAAAAAAAAAAAAAAAAGGGGGGGGGGGGGGGGGAAGCAAGTCAGAGACACAGGAACCAACATGAAGGAATTTTTAGTGACCAACCTGGGACATGTGAACCACAAAATAAATACTGATCATCATGGATTGTAACCTGTGTAATAAATATGTAGATATAAATCCATATGGTAGATATCCATGTGTCTCTGCTAAATTAAATAACTGAAAAACAAGTTGGAGTTTGGGCACAGTGGCTCATGCTTATAATCCCTGTACTTTGGGAGGCCAAGGCAGGTGAATGCTTGAGTATACAAGTTCAAGACCAGCCCCGGCAACATAAAGAAACCCTGCCACTGCTAAAAATACAAAAGTTAGCCGAGTGTGCCTGTAGTCCCAGCTACGTGGGAGGGTGAGGCAGGAGGATTGCTTGAGCCCAGGAAGTGAGGCTTCAGTGCGCCGAGATTGTGCCACTGCACTCCAGCCTAGGTGACAAAGTGAGACCCTGTCTCAACAAACAAACAAAAAGTGAATTGTAGAAAGAGTGGCTCTTTTTATTATTTATTAATTATTATTTTTGATACGGAGTCTTGCTCTGTTGTCCAGACTGGAGTGTAGCAGGATCTTGGCTCACTGTAACCTCCGCCTCCTGGGTTCAAGTGATTCTGTTGGCTCAGCTTCCCAAGTATCTGAGATTACAGGCACCCACCATTTTGCCTGGCTAATTTTTATATTTTTTGTAGAGACAGGGTTCTGCCATATTGGCCAGGCTGGTCTTGAACTCCTCACCTCAAGTGATCTACCTTCCTTGGCTTTTCATCAAAGTGCTGGGATTACAGGCATGAGCCACCTCACCTGGCCTGTTATAGTAGAATTTTAATTAGTACATATGGAAGGAATGATGGAAATAATCTGCCAGTAGGCACTTACAAGTAATCATTTTTGTAGGTAAGCACTACCAATGGATGCTATTATAAAATTAGTGAAAATATGGGAAACAGAGTATTTGTATAGTCTGAAAATATCTCTAATTGTTAATTACAAAGGAAAAACTAATAACTTCATGGCAGAGAAACCTGACAGACAGCACCTTGCCTGATGGTCAGCGTTTACTGGGTTCATGTTGACACCACGTAGCTTGCTACTGTACCCGAGAAGGGCACAAACTTGTTACTGTGTTGTTCTCACCAGAATTGCATAACCTCAATCTAGTAATGAGGAGATGCTAGACAAACCCACATGGAAGGTTGGTAAAACAACGGACCAACACCCTTTGTGAAACTGTCATGGTAGTGCGAAACAGAGACTGGCCACACTTAGAGATTAGAGGAGGCCAAAGAGATGTGACTGGTGAATGCAGGATCCTGGGCCAGGAAAAGGGTAACATGTGATCAGACTCATGAAGTTTCAGTAAGGCCTGTTGATGGATTAATAGTAATAGGCCCATGTTAGTTTTAGCAATTATGTAAGGTGTTAACATTA